GAGCCACAAGAAATCGCGACCACCGAACTGCAGCTTGTCTGGGAGAAAGAGAATACACCCGTGCCTGAGCTGGAACCGGAGCCAATGGTCATTCCAAGCGACCCAGGGATTACGCCGATCTCTATCCACTGCCTCATGCGCGAATATGAAGTACCTCCAATAGACCCAGCTCTGAAGAGTAAGTACAACTAGTTCCGCATGGCTGCCGTGATTTGGGCTCGGGATATTTGATGGCAAAATACGCCCTTTGTCACAATATGTTGGTACGTTGGCTAAGGATAGATTGTTAAGAGCGCTTGCATTATCGAAGGAGATTATTTATACGGTTTATCGAGAAAAACGAGAATAAATGAACATTTATTGCTAAATGACAAAAGAAAGATATACGGAGTAAAATTGGGTTTCGAAGTATTACTTAGTGAAATATTGTGGCATGACTCTCAGTTTTAAGGGCAAAGTTGGTTGGAGGAAATTCGGGATGGAATCTCACCGGAAAACGAAGGAGGATTGCCACGTAAGGAAGACTGTTGAATTGTGCAAAGAAGTTTTCGGCTCACCATCCTGCCAGCCAAATGAAATTGTGCTAAGCTTTCTTCTGTACTGTAACAGACATCATCAGAGTAAGATTACATACTTTACGAAATAAAGCAAAAGTATACTGAACCAAGAAAAGAAGGTGGCCGACTGCAACCCTAGTCTCTTTTTATACACCCAAAATCACCATCCTAATGAAACCTCTCATGATTTGGTTGACTACTTTAAACTTACTATACATGCTTGCAAATGAGTGCAGTTAACATGTTGGGGGGACTATCATTTCGTATAAAAGTGCATGAATAAAAGACTTGTAGGTCGATTTCACAAGAAAAGGACAAATGGATCCCGTTGTACTGCAGCTTTTTGGCCTTTATACAACGTTCAGTTTGACGCAGTCCACGAGACCTTCCTCGTCTCGGGTAAAAACGGGCTCAGTTTTCGTCCATCATATGATGGACATCCTCAGAGCAGTGCACTAGGGCAAGAAGACTATCCGAATTTATCTTACCTCTTATATAGACTCAATTGAGCATAATAAATTAAAAAAACTTAGATAGATATAGAATGGTTTGGCCAATTATCTTTCATACTGGTCCTGATACTTTTGCTTGAGTGTGCGCGCGTATGTATTTATGTGTGTTAGCGTCTATGCGCAATACCCATCCTAAATCCGAGTTATCAAAAGGGTAATGTTAGGCTCTGATCATCAAGGCCTAATGAAATAACCGAATGTAGATACGAAGATAAACTTG